TTTGATATATATGAATAGTACAAGTGTAGATGTTTATAATATAAAAGAATTCTACTTTAAAATACAAAGTGTTGATTTACTTCCTGAATCTTTTTAATACATGCTTGAATAACATTTAATGATAGGCTATTGCAAGCTTCATCAACCACATTCTCTAGCTTATAATATACTATGTCAATCAATAGATAATAGTCTTGATTTTAACACTATTGAACTTGTTTCGAACATTATCAAATAGAAAATTAAAAGCGAAAATCCAAAGTCATAACATGAACTAGAGGATGTGGTCAATGAAGCTTGTCATAGCCTATAATAGAATGTTATTCAAGCATGTATTAAAAAGATGCAGGAAGTAAATCAACACTTTGTATCTTTATATTAGAATTTTTAATAATATAAATATCTACACTAATACTATTCATATGTATATATCAAAGAAAACTTCTTCTGACCCTAAACTCTATATATTAGACTAAAAAAAATACGATTCGCAGTCATTTTTTCGTTCGTAGTTTGTTACGTTATAAATAGATGGAACAAACATTTTTCTCTAGTCTCACCGAAGGTCTAAGGATACATCTTATTAAATACAGCTAATGTTTGCGCGTCACATCTATGTAAACAAACGACAAAATTTAGAACAATGCATTATGTTAAATTTCATTTGGAATATCTTTTTTCTTTTTAATGAGACACGTTCAGTGTGTTGTTGATATTTCGGTACACTTTTTACTCTATCTATGTACAATGTAACAAAGGTGACATAGAACAGAAGTGATCTAATCGGTATGTCATATCAAATATAAGAGTTTTATACTAATAAAAATTTTCTATAAATTCACACTGTTGAGCCTTCACAATAATTGACCTTGCGTTGAGTACATTTAAATCACGTAAAATTTTCAGACCTATACTATGACAATTTCGGAAGAAATTCAACAAACAATAGTTTAAAAATGGTTCATTAATCAATCTAACATTCTCTATGAGTCTTCATTCTGTATACTTAATTTTTGTTTTTGTTTGAAAAGGCACGGTAGAATCCTTTTATTACGTTCTTAATTTTCAAAGAGAAACAAAGAAATGATAGACTAAACGTCTTGGAAGTCTCTCAAAACATTGTGCTCTAATTATTCAAGTACCCTTTATTATAATTGTAATAAAGCATAATTCAAGAAAACGATTTTATCATGTTCTATATCTTGACATACTCTTACAAATAAAAGAGGAAATTAAATATATAGCAGAAACGCTCACAGAGAATTCTGTCAATCAATAGGCGATGAAAATCATTAAAAGTTTTTCCAAAAAAAGACGAGGTTCTAATTGAAAAATCATGTTGCTCTTGAAAGAGTACAACTAAGACTATCTTCCCATGAATTTACCTTAATTTTCATTTGTTTTTCTACGAAAATACACTTTTCTGAACGAGCTTAGAACAATTTTGTCTATATCTTCTTGCATGAATGAATGAGATTGTACAATAATGTCTATTTGTCATTGGTCTATATATATAGGAGACAAACAGAATAATTTTTAAAGATTAACTCTCAGTTATAATAAAATCCCTAATGTAATTTATAGTGCTTTTTCTAATCCTATACTGAAGAATTAATTAGCTAAGTATCACATGAAAGCAAGGTACTTTTTATAATCTTGTTGTTGAAAATTCCTGATTTAGTTAAAAAAGAAGTATTGATTTTAAATAAATGAAAAACGACATGCTACGATTGTATGATGAATAAAAATTAAAGAAATCTATCGATTGATATAGAATTTTTTAATAGTATACTAGAGAACTATAATCTGTAGTTTGAGGAAAACTAGGTCATTTTAGCTTGTCTAAATTTTGATAATTTTGACAGCGACTATTTGCTTGTCTTCCTTATTATACCTCTTCATTTGTCTTTCTGTCAACTCTGACAATATAAATACTATTAGATTTTGATTCGATATTAAAAATATTGACATACGATAATATAGTTTATGTGTCGATTCATTTGAACAGATTGATGTAAACTTTCTTCTCTATTTATTTATATTTATCAAAATCAATAGGTAGCATTTCAGTCGTTCTGTCTCTATTGACTATTTTGATTTTTGTTTATCTTTACTCATTGCTTGGATTTCTGTCAATTCTACTGATTAGTTATTTTATCTTATGATTTTCTCATTGAAGAATTTTCATCAAATTCGTTCTATAACATATCAACTTCTTTAACATTTTAGAATTTTTATTCATCCTATTTCATATTATATTTACCTCTATTCATGTCTTACTTGTGTATAGAAAACTTCCTATCAAGAAATAAAACAATGGGCAATCGAGATTTTATGTTAATATGAGAAGAAAAGAAAAAACTAGATAAAAAAATAATAGAAAAGACAATCTACAATGAAATCTTATTTTTATTAATGTATCTTTTTTAGTAAGCTTAGTTTTTAAGTAAAGGAACGTTCCCGATTCATTTCCTTATAGAGCTAATGTTTTGAACGTTTTCTTTTCTTTTTTTTAATTCTGAAAATGATGCTTGACTTTATGTTTATTTTGAAAAAAATTAACGTAGAAAAAAAGAATTAGTATCCAAACGCAAGGAAACAAAAGAAAAGAAAAGTAATAAATTATAAAATATTTAATAGTAGACAGCATTTATGTTAGAAAATTCAGGTAGGAAAAAACACTTATTCTAATATCATAAATTGTAAAATTTTTCTATTTCTTTTCTTCTACATTTCATGAATATTCATATTCTAACTATGCTCTGTCGTTTTTCTCATCTTTTTAAAGTATAACTTTACTCTTTTTTTTTAATACTGCTTCATATTATTACAGTTAGTATTACAAACTGTTGTGTTATTCTATTTTGTACTAGATATTAGATTTTGTATAATCGCGATGTATTTATTCAGGAAACGAACAACTAAAGCTGGAAAAAGGATTAATTTGAAAACAGAAATTACACAACGAACGTTCATGCGTATGTATGAAAGAACATTTAAGAATATCTTCTCTTGTAAGTTTTCTACAGAACAGTTCATCAGAAAAGTTTGAAAACTCTGAGGCAAATAGATCTTGATGAGTACAGCAAAACTTATCGTAGAGATTTGAAATTTTCGCATACTATCTTCGATAAGATACTGAGATCACAATGGTGAAAAATGATTCCAATTTTTTCCTCTCATTTCTCCAACATGCTACGTTCGATTGAGTTGAAAGTTATTTTACAAGTGCTAGATACTGCTTCGAGTAAGTATTTTTTTTCCTTCGAATAAAGAAGCGAAAATATCCAAGATACTCTAAAAAAAACGCATGTTGTTTTTCGTACGAGCTACCAAAAATCAGTAGAATAATATTTTTTGAAAAAGACAATTTTTATCGCCGAAAATATACTCAGCAGATAGATACCACTTTAAACTATACAATGGCTACAAAAAAACAAACAAACAAAAGTTTTGAGTCAGAAAATGATCATCATGTTATTTTTGCTTTTAGTAATTCAGAAAAAAGGAAATTAAAGTATATAAATGAAAAAAATAGTCGAACTTCTTTGTTTCTCCTTTTTTTTCTCAAATACAAAGTATAGAGATACTGTAGACATCTTCTTTTTATAAAGAAAGCATATGATGGTATGTTTATTGGATCTAAAACCTGTAGAAGGTTAGTTTTTTTTATATTAGTATTTATGCTCCGCTCTCATTATAAAGAAGTAATCAAGAAAATAAGAAAATTCTTTAAATATACTGAAATTAAGGATCATTAACAATTTATTTCTTGACTCTTTGTTAAGGAAAAGGAATATTCAAGAGATGTAAACTTTCTTTTATCGCATTATTTTAAGAACCTTTCTCTTTCGCTCAAAGAAAGTTCATTTCCGTTCGATCAATTGAAATTAAGATAGATACATGAGAAAATTAGTGCAATGCGAATAGTCCACAAACAATATAACTCCTTACAAGTATTCCTTTTTTTTGCTGAAAAAGAAAGCCTTTTTCATTCGTTTTTCTTATCGTACATCCCAGAAATCTCGAAGGAGCTTCATTACAGATTATTGTATTCCTATTTTTTTTAAAACATTATATGAAACTAATAGAGACTCTGCTTTGAATTACGTATTTTTATTATTATATACTGTTCTATACATGAACACGGAAGGCATTTGAACTATTCGGGAGGTTAAGAAACATTGATAAAATGTATTCGGTATTAACAGAGTATGGCCTATACAAAATGTTGAGAATGCAGACTCACACCAAAGTCCAAAAGTTTTTTCGTGGTCCGATCTGACATGAGCCAATTCGATCCAAGCACTGCTATCTACGAGCAAAATATAAACTCAAACAGAGATTATCAATCGGATGGATTCTCTCATTAGTGAAAACAAATCCATATGTGTGAATTCTTTGAGAAATTACATAACTTATTTAATTTACAGAGCATATATTTAATTGGGATAAAAATTTATTTTTTTATAAAGAACAAGTTTTTTCAAGGTTACAATTTATTATGTGACATCTAACAATATAATAAGTAGTTTTTTAATATTATATAAAAGCATTGAGCGCTTTTATTAATAAATTTATGATAGAAAGGCTCTTAATGCAATCTCTTCGACATTAAAGTGTGAAACATGATATAGTTGTTCTTGGTAGTCACAAGGAGATTCTTTTATTATACTTATTTTGCGACACAATATCTAAACCATTTTTTTTTTCAATTCCTTATCTACAATGTCTTGCACAGTCGGTATCAGGATCGTAGCCTGAATTTTCACTCCATGTACTTCAATACTTATTTTAGATCGTGTTTTACAAAACTATCTTAGAATATTTTAAACCTATACGAAAATTAAAAAAACGTAATGAACAAGTCTTTTTGAAAACGAAATCGAGTATATTGTTAAATGATCTATTCAAATTAAAGTTTAATACGATTATTTTATTATAGAAATTGATTTAAAAACATAATATACATTTACATAGCATTTTATATGAAAATAGTCATGAATAATATTGAAATACTTGACAATATTGTTATTTATCTTCATCGATATATAACATGGATTCTTTTCTTGTTGGGAAATATTGGAAATATATTAACTGGTGTAATATTTTTCAAAAAATCATGGAAAAAAAATGTTTGTGTATTTTACTTTTTAAATTGTTTACTAGTAAATTTTGCTTATATTAATACTACTATGGTTGGATCAAGTTTTACATTTGGTTTTCAAATTCATTCAGAAAGTTCTAATGTTGTTTTATGTAAAATTTTGTATTATGTATCATATCTATTATCTGTACTTTTACCTAATATTCTTATATTAGCATCGATTGATCGTCTATTAATATCTTCTAAAAATATTGATACACGTTTATATAGTTCAAAACGTTTAGCTTATTTTTCGATTAGTGTCAGTACAATTTTTTGGATTATATTTTATATTCATGTTTTAATTAAAATTGATGTTCAAAAAATTTATCCATCTGGTTTTGTTTGTTATTATGATACATCAGGATTTTATTTTGAATTTATTTCATATTCAACATTAATTATTGCTGTTGGTTTAGCTTTTGTATTAATTATATTATCGATTTTAGCATTTAAAAATGTTCGTCAACTTCAAACTATTCCACGACAACAACGAAATCAATTTCGAATTATGCATAAAAAAGATTTTCAACTTCTTTGTTGTCTTTATATTCATGATATTGTATATATTATATTTAATGTTTTTGTTGCTGCCTATTATGTTTATGTAGCAACAACAAAACATCATATACGTACACCATTTCATCAAACTATTGACAATTTTCTTTCTGGTTTTGGTACTTTTATTCATCATATTCCATATTGTGCTAGTTTTTTCATATTTATTAGTGTATCTAAAGCTTTTCGACAAGAAATCAAACGATTATTTTACAAGATGTGTTGTAAAGATAAAATGTCAATTAGAGAAGCAGATAATAGACAACAAAATATTGTACGAAATAATATAGAATTAAATGTTGTAGATGGAATTGTTAGTACAATTATGTTACCAACTTGATTATCAAATTAAACAAAAAAACCATAAAATTTTCAAGTCACAAATTTTAGAAACATAATTAACCATCGAAAGTGTTCAACAGCATTAATCTTAAAAAATTTTTACACCTTACAAAGATGCAGATCTTTTGTATACTTTTATTAACATTCTAACTCATGTTTACAATCAGACATTTATACTCTCTATGAACTTTTTCAGATCATTAGTGCAGATGAGTATGAATGTTGATGAAATGAAAATCCACACCTACAATCTTATTCTATCTTTGTAATTAGTTGAAGAGCTATTGGTAAACTTTCAAAACATAGCATCTTCTTTTATTCACTTAAGCGATACAGAAACAATAATATCTTCAATTACATTTGCTAGCATATCATCATGAAGTACTATGATATTGATACAACATGAATCAGTTAAAAAAGATATACATAACGTAGTTTGTTTTAGATTGATCACATAAACAGATTATCGAATTCGATACTCGAAAACAAAGTACAATGTCAGTAAAGTATAAATCAATAATTGTCTATTGGTTGAACTTATTGCTGTGTTAAGAATAATGTCTGTCACTGTAGCTGTAGTATTTGTCGTGATGATGTTAGCTGTTTCGTAGACACTTGTGAGTGACTCACTACTATTGTTTACAAAGGTAGTATCCGCTGTGGTGATGATAATTGTTGAAAGCATGCTATCTTTCGAACTCAAGCCAATATCAATAGTTGTACTTGATTTCGATACATCAGTAGAATCGATACTTGGCTTCGAAATATCAACCATGATTGTCGTCGTAGATCGTACATTAATATTTGTTGTCAAGAATACAGTTCTTTCATTATTGTTTGTTAATGGACTAAAATTGCTTGTCAAGCTCGAGACTACAAGATATGGATTAAGAACGATGTAGAAATGAAATATGGTATCTCTTTCTCAAATTAAACTAGAATAAATATATATTTGAATGTTTGTATTCAAATCAAAGTTTTATACCGTAAAAGTAGTATGAAAAGTCGACAGAAGATTTTGGGAGTGTTTATTAGAAAAAAAAAATTGTTTTAGATTAGAAATCTTACTTGTACTCATGGTGGAATTTGGTGTTATTGTAGAGCCATTCTTATTTTTCTTACGAGTTAAAGTAACCAATAATGAAATAACAAGGATACCAACTAGAATGAGTACTAACGTTATCATAGATAAACGACGACGACAACATTGTGTTCTAAGGAAAGATCTTCTGATTGATTTATGAAATCAAGAATATCAAACTTACCGAAAATTTTGTACATTACTAATACCTGATCTTGAACGAACAATCACATCATCATCCGGATAAATAGGCACATTCTGCATTATAAAAACCTAACACAATAGTAATGATTCAATAGAATAACAACACTATTAAATGACGTGAGAACTAGTATCTGTGAATTTTCTTCTCTATTTTATAGAGAAGAAATGATAATTATCTCAACTATATTTATTTTGTTCTTTTTGTAATCATAAATGTTTTTTGGAAAAAATCCCAATATTTGATATTTACAAAAGAAAAACAAAATCTTGAGTAATAAATTTTATTGTGAACAGAACAAGAAAGTATTTTTCAGCAATGAATGTGCTTGTTTTTTAATCTAATTGTATTTTACTTGAGTATTTACGAATTTGAAAAAAAAAGAAGATTTTTAGGAACGTTTGTTAATGTATTTATATTGACTTTTTTGTGCTGACAAATAAGTATTGTATTTAATGACACTCACATAGTAACAAAACCTCGCCGCCCATTTTCTCATCTAAGAAAACACATTAAATAATTCTCTCTGACAATGTTCAATATTTTCAGATCGTCATAGAGTATATATAAGCAAGACAAATAAAGAAAAAATGATTATTTTGCTATTTGTCTTGACCCTGGTAGAATCTTGATGATTCATTCTTACAGGAGCATAAAAATAATAGACCGATGATATTTTATTATTATCAATAGCAGTCAGAAGACTGCATGTTATACTAGCGACCAGTGCTTCAATAAAAAGATTATTTAGTAAAGAGCAAACGTATCCTTTTTCGATCACATCTGTTCAGATTCATTGCATTGTGAATCCTATATCCTTATCATTAAATGTGATAACATTCGTTTGTTGATTTCTCGACTGACAGATCAAAAGTAGAAGTACGATAATCAAAGCTGATAATTACACTCAAGAAAATTGAGTTTAACTTTTTTATATTAATTTGAATTGCGTTTACAATCTTCAATGTACGAGCGCTATTATTTTATAAGACTTCATTAGAGCGGAAGTTGTCATCATTAAATATTAAACAATTTCGTAAATAATCACATATTTCGAATTGATAATATCTGGACTTTTAGATTAATAAAAAATTTAATATATACATTATATGTTAAACCAATATTATCAGATATAAATATAATCATATTTAATAAACATTCACATTACTATTGAAGTTCGAAGCCAATATTGTACGGATACACATTTGGGTCTCTGCTTTTTGTTTCTCACTCGAATATATTCTTTTTCATTCAGACAAATACCCGCGGAAGCCCATTGGCTCTATACTCTGGCTATATCTACATTTCGTCTCATTTTGTTAGTCATAATTCAATGAAGTTTTGAAAGATTTGCTTTAAACTTACAGAAAGTGTTTCTCTACAAGTGCCATTTGTTCTCTCAAGTTTTCAGACACATATATAGCTTATTGGAGGTAGATGGCGTGATATAGTAAATATTGAGATATGTTCATAGGGTTATAGATACTCGAATTTTTAATTAATCACTAGCATGCCTGCGAGCACTTATGGAAATACTTCATGGTTTATTTAAACACTCAAAAAAAACACGAAAAGACAATATATTGCTTCTGTAGATGAATAAAATTGTATTTATCTTCTTATTAGTAAGCTATCAAGAGTTTTCTGACAGTTTTCATGATGCTAATCGATGGAAATGGAAATGAGAGTGGATATGTGAGTATGAAAAGAATAGCAACTCTCATTCTCATCTATCTGTCTCGTCAATTTTGTCATAATGAGAAAAAATTCACTACTAAAGTTTATATGTTTTTTCCCATGAAACTTGTAACTCTCCCTCCTCTGGCTCATAAAATCTTTCTCTTTCTAAGATATGAAGTCCGAAATAGAAACAGACTGAATTCATTGTTACTCTATGAAACATCATGTCATTGATGTGCGACTTTTGCTGCTGGCCTACATTCATCGAGAACTATATATATACTGAGTTTTAGAGCCACAACTCTTTTAGTGACTGAAGTGCTAATGGAAAAGGAGGAGAGTATTTTTGGCTAGTAGTGTAAGTGTAAAGTACCTTTTATCAGTAAAAATCAAAGATTGCATGCAACCCAATCATCACTATCTTCTTCTAAACAATCAATAGATATGAGGACAAACATGCATTATCTTCCGTCATATCTATATTCTTCAGCAAATGCTAAAAAATACAGTCTTTGTGGATTAATAAAACATTTACTTACGTTAGTCGTCTTTGCTTATGATTCAGTATCATTTGCTATACAAAACATTTATTTTTAAAGAAATAGATAAGAAAAAAACCACAAAAACACATAATTCAATTGTTCGTCTTATCATTTACTGTTCACTAATGGTTCTAGATGACTTCATGTTCGTTATGCATGCATGTAATTATGTCGCAACAAAATCAAATATTACTTGAAAATCGAATTCATTACGTGCTCTATAAAATTGAAACTAGTGCAATATATGTATATTTTTTTAGAATTTTTCAATTAAAAAAGTTTTTCTTATCAAATTACTTAAAAATGAGATTAGATTTTATATGATTGAGATTGATTATTTGACAGTCATAAACAAAATATGTATAATCTGTTATTTAAATTTTATTCGAAAATCAACAGGTTAATATACTTGATTGTTTAAGTTTTTTGCATAAAATAAAAAAAGCAATAGTAAAAACCAAGAAAAAGTAAAAGTAAAATTTTATCATAGTTAAATATTGACATAATATAGTTAGTGCATACAAAAAAAATTAGTAAAAATAAACGGTATGATTAAAGAAATGTAGCTAAGATAAATGTAACTAAAAAGTTTTCATTCTGTGAATAAAATGAGACGTAATATCATAAGACGTGTCTTATGGATTAAACAATGAACATATTTCAGAAATTGTGAGCTCTCGACTATAAACTCGCAACTCATCAATAATGCCTTGATAGTGACCTTGAGAAAGTGTCGGACTCGCAGTTAGACATCCTGCTGGCAATGAACCTGTAGTTGATGGATTTCCTACGGTCATGTATGGTCGACTTGCGGAAGTATATGTGTTCGATGCAAATGATGTGAAAGCGTCATCGACAGCACGCAAGGTTCCATTTGTATAAAGTGCCATACCATTGCTCGAACTATAAGTTAAAACAATATGTGTCCATATGCTCGTATTCATAACTGGACCACCGATACTCGTAGTAGCTTGACAATAGCACGTTCCACTGCAGCAACTATATGGTTTGTATAAATTTGCGATTAATTGACCTGTTGTACTAAATCCCAAAAGATCGAAACAACCTGTACCTGTACCAACAATGCCAGTCGATAGATGAATCAATGTACCACCTAAGACAGAGTATGGTTTTACCCATAACGAAATACTGAATGATGCTCCAGATCTGTAAGCTGTAAATGCCATCGATTGAAAATAAGATGATGTTCCTTGAAACAAATAACCTTCATTAGTACGACCTGATACACTGCTTACTGAGTTAGATATTCCATTAATATAATTGTTACTGAGATCGAGATTCAATACATCAGCATCAAATGAATAATAAGCAGTGAGTATTGCATCATTCAAGATTTGACAAGTAGTTTTAGCAACAGTTGTTACTTGTAAGTGATCAATGTCACCATACAAGTAAGAACCACTGGATGTTCGACCAATCATAACAGAACCTGTAGTTCCTTTATATGGACCAGATAATGGTGCAGATCCCCATGTTGTTCCATCAAGAACTCCATTGAAATAAATCGATTGTTTCATTAAACTATAGTCATAAACGAATGCTATATGATACCATTTGGTCGATGGTTCCGCTAAAAAAGCGGCACCAATGACATCATCATTGTAGAAACTAGAATACAAATGTTTATTTTTGACACTTAAAGTCAAGCATTTGTCAGTTGTCGTCGACGATTGACACTGACTGAAAATACCATGTTCAGTGGTCGCAGCAGTTAACCAGATCCATCTAACAGAAAGATATCGATTCATAACGATATCAGTCACAGTTTATTGAATACTTTACTTACCCTTCTATAGTCCAACTTCGATAGCTTAGATTAAGAAAATGTGTATCCACATTAACATAATGACTGCCATCAAATGATATTGATTTATCGATATTACCAACAATATAAGAAGCTGAAGCTGTTGTAGGAGTGTAGGTTCCAGAGTAGACATTATTCGAATCGTAAAGATTATCATTGAATGGCCAAAATGCAATTGTTGATGGACGATATGGAGTTCCTGACATCACACAGATGGCATCACATGTTTGTTGAGTAAAGCTACCTATTTATAAGATGATTGAAAGTGATCATGAAATTTTCGGAACGATAAATTTTTTCCTATGCTTTAGATAGTTTCATGCTTTTTTAACATTTCAATATCTCATGTTAAATTTAATAAAATAAAAGAAAAACTCACTTGATGAAGATTCTTCTTTTGGTTTTATAGTTATAAATATAACCAAACCCGCAATTGCACATATGGCCAAAACAAGAGTCAAGATGAAGCCGACGAGTATCGGTCTAAGTTTTTTCCATCCTTGCACGTTTCTACAAAAAAAGATTGTTTTTTTTTTCAGATTCAGAAATGAATACATTGTAAACTGCAAATACTAACATATCCTTTTTGGGCATATTTGAAATTTGTATGGTATCTTCGAATGCATCCATTTTTACAGATCCTCCTATAATTGAGGGTGAATTCGATGGAAGATAACAACGTTCAGATGATGACGGATATAATTGCTTTTGTTGATTGAACGTGATAGGAACGTTCTGTAATTGAAATTTTTCGGGATTTCGATAATTGACACGGGATACTTTGACCAGTGTTTTTGGTTGAACCGGTTGAGTATTTATAAAAGAAGATGGTATTAATTCCATGGTCGACATTTTCTAACGCAAATTTATTGGAATAATTAATCGACTCTGATATCCAAGATGTTTTGATATTCTAAAGAAAATATAGAGGAAGAAAAACATAGATGTTTGAATACTCAAGATGATAGGTTGCGAAAACACTATCGATGTATTAAGATTTTCTTCCTTAACATTAGTTGTAGAATTGAATTCAACTTAAATGAATATGAAATCCAACACTGTCCTCATTTTGTATTCTTCACTTTGTTTATATAAAAGAAAAAAACAAAGTCTATGTCATATTGTTCTCTCATGAATTATATATAGAAATGTTTGCGAAGGTGAAAAAGTGTTACAGACTGATCTGCGTCGTTATTATTGTTTTTGTATTAAATCACACAATAGCTACCAAAATTGTTCACTACAGTGTATATTCAATTTTTTTCGACCATTTTAAATGCTAAATATTGATTCAAGTAGAGAAAAGCGTGTAACCAACATGAATATAAAGAAATAAAAATGATTTTCTTCGATTCCTCCAGATGCGACCGTCAGGAAATCAAATCTTTATTTTTTTAAACATTTACAACGGACAAATATTATTTTGTGCCGCGTATACAAAATAAGACAGCCAATGACATTTCAGGAAATGAAACATCTCTAAGTTCAATACGAGTTTTTTTTTAATTTAGATACATTAGCCTTATAGAAGCTCTTGGGGGTCACTATATAATTACTTTTTCCTGTAAAAAACTTCAATGTTATGTCTTCAACCCGATGGTTGCATCTCAACCAAAACAACATTTTACCAAACTCAGAAATGTTTCATTTCATAGAGAATCGTTTTTTCTAGTGCTTCGTATAGCCTTTACAAAATAATATTTGCCCGTTCTAGGTACTGAAAATCTAGAGATTTCATTTCTACTCGAAATATTTCAAATAGCAGAAAAAATTGAATATAAATTTTGTTAATAATAATTTTATTAGCCATCGTATATATGATGTTGTTTTTTTTTTAATTAATATTATTATTGATTATGTGGAAATAATCAATAAATAGATAGAAAAAAAATGAACAAATTATTCAGATGAGTAACATATATAATTTTACCGCTATCATAGTTAAGATATATATGACTATAGAGTGTTTTTTATTCGTTGAAATAATTTTTTTTCTAATGTGTTAAACATACAAACGAATAAGTACGAGAATATTTGTAATCAAAACATAAGACAAGACTTTTTTTTTTGTTTATTATTCAATAATCAACACCTATTCTTTTTTATTTGAGAGAAGACAATATTTATGTAGACTGTATAAATTAACTATTATTACATATAATAGAAATAATAAATAAAAAATTTTCTTGTGCTTCGGAATATTTCTTCTATTCTGTTATAAGAAGTTTTATTTTATTGAAATCGAATCGATAAAAATGTCAGTCTAGTCTTATAATTATACGTAGGATAAGTTTAAAAATGAAATATTTATATTTCAAGATATGGATCTATCAATAGATGTATGCTTGTTTTTAAATCTAGTTTAACATATACAAGGTTGAAAGAAAAAAGAACTTTTGATTTCATCGTTGTTTCCATTATTTTTTATAATTCAAAATGCTGCATTGAAACAATTTGTTTGAGAGATTTCAAACATGACTAATAAAGATCGATTCTATTTCTCGAAGTAATATTGAAGAAACATAAGAAGATGATAGTTCAAATTTGATTTGTAAAAAACTTGAAAAATACAAACAACAAAAAGTCTCCGAAGACTAATAATCGACGGAGTAAAACTAGTTTATTGAAAAACCAGACATTCATTATCAATATTATCTTTAATAAAAGAGTGTCTAAAAATTTTTATATTCTTGAGTAGTGGTCTTTTCTTATGTTTCTCCAATGAAAGAGGCTGATATTCACTTATTATTGAAAAGCTTTTACTTTATCGTGCATCAATTTTGATTTCTATTATTTTTCTAAGCTAGAGGCTAAAAGTTGTATAGCAACAATAAAATGTACGAACAAGTCACATGAATGGACTGATTGGATTTTAATGAGTAAGTAAAATCGTAGCAGAGGTCGAAACGAAGACAACGTTTCACTCTGCGCCCTACCAGAAACAGCATGATTTCTAACAGTGGAAACCATTTTGATATCATGGAAATCAAACAAATAGCTTGCTAAAAATCTGAATCATAAACGAGCGTTGGCAAGTGTTTCCAGCTTTCAAGAAAGAAAAACTATGACACGGTTCAATGAATCCTGAGTTTTGATAGTAGCGCTTTTGTTATAGATGTAAACTTAAATAATGAAAATTCGTTTATCATGATGAAATATTTTGGAATTAATAAACAAAACGAATGCATCTATTTGCAATATGTCTCTGATGTGCTTTTTTTGTGCACAATGTATCAACAAAAATTAGATCGAACAGACTTGTGTTTTTGTTCGATTCTTGTGTTCTGATAGAGATTTTTTAAATTGAAATCGTTACTAACACGGTATCGAAATGTAATCGAAGGTTATTGACCATATTCCGACAAAGATTTTTTTAAATAAAGCATGTTTATTTTCTCAAATAAAACGAACGAAATTTCCATTTAAAAAAAAAGAAATATATAATCAGTCTTATGATTATGTTATAAAGATAAATATTGAGATTGATTATTGAACTGTTAGTTATTGAATGAATATTATTTGATTTCACAATTCTTTGCATATAGATTCTATTGAACATTTCTACTTTATTGGTAAGTAATTTTCACCTTTGCATAGTAACAATAAAGAATGGGTTATTAAAAAATTCAATTCAATTCCTTCGGCGAATGGCAATATTTCAATAATAAAATTTGTTATAGTTGAGAAACCTATCAATATCGAGACAGCAAATTTATAGCGATTCAATAACACAATTCCACTAACACAAACTGTACATACTGCTAATATTCTTTTCCTCCGAGGATGACTAAGCATTTTTTTCTATCATTGACACCATAGAAAGTATTTCGGACGAGTTCAAAGCTTTGAGTTTATGCTCTTATTGCATAATGGGCTTAAAAGTTGTGTCTGAGTTTTTCTTGACAGTAGTGAAATAACCTTGGAAAAGTCCAAAAAATTGGGTTAGACAGAAAGTTTTTTGCATTTTTACTATTTCTATTCGAAAACAAAAGTTAGAATATTTATTTATATATCAGCTGATAGATCAAAGCTATCCTATAAAATGCACTGTTCGAAGCTTTTTTGCCTTTCGATCAAACAACTCAACTTTCACTGGAACCTCACTTAGGTAAAAGTTACATCTTACGAGGGAACGTTCCCAAGTGTCCCATCGTTTTTGAGTTCGGACTCTATACAGAAGGTAGATCCCAGTGACGTATGAAAAACTCCAGAAGAATAAATGCCCTTAGGCCTTCTGTCTAGAGTTATAGGCATTTTACCGAAATTTTAGCCTCTGGCATGGTAAATACCGACAAATCAAATGATGGTATTTCGACCTAAGATTTTGCCCACAAATAGATCTATTTGTGAGTACAATACGCTGAAAATTTCAGCTCAAAAGAATGTTTTATTCCTGAGATATTAAAGTCCCAAAAATCAATAATATCCCACGAAAGATGCTAGAATTTACTGTTTTTTGGGACTTTAATATCTCAGGAATAAAACATTCTTTTGAACTGAAATTTTCAGGATATTCTACTCACAAATAGATCTATCTGTGGACAAAATCTCAGGTCGAAATACAGTCATTCGATTGATCGGTATATACCATGTCAAAGGCTAAAATTTCGGTAAAATGCCTATAACTCTAGACAGAAGGCCTAAGGGCACTTATTCTTCTGGGGTTTTTCATACATCACTGGGATCTACCTTATGCATAGAGTCCGAACTCAAAACGATGGGACACTTGTGAATGTTTCCTCGTTAGTGCAATAGCACATTTTGTAGAGAAGTGTTTGCTGTACAAAAAGATCGACTCAGACAATTGTTAGTATGTTCGAAAAGAAAACCTATTGGCTGATCATTAAAAATAATTTTTCCGATTTTTCAAAAAATTTCTTATTACTCTTGAACAATCAGAAATAATTTCTAGCAGATCACAAATGGACAAACATCTCGTCTAAAAATTTTCTCATTAGCTGTTAGTATTCTTGTTACTCTTAACTGCTATTACAGGCAGATGATAGCAGAAATTAGAACTCCATAAAGAAATTTGGTTGTACGATGTACCAAAAGAAACAACAGTCGCTGAGTCATTCTAGTTGATCAGGAAGCTCAAATGCGACTCATTAAAAATCGTCTATTGATATTAATCTCGATTGCAATTGTAGTATTGATGTGGAGAACATAAATAATCAGAGAATTTAATTATGAAGTAAAGATTATTTTCTGAAAGAACAGTCACTGGAACAAATATGTTTAGAAATCTTTAAATGTGTATACCAGTCTAAAATAATTTAACCTCTTAAAATAATCTTTTTTTTTTAAAAATACAGAGTGATAAAATAAAATTGTAGATTTCTGATTTTATTTCACTCATTGTTAATTCAGTTTTCTTACAATATATTTCCTTTGAACTGTTTCGAAAAATGTTTTACGAATGACAATTAATTCAAATCTTTGCTCGAAATAATAGTCTGAGAACTTCGCTTTTATATTCTCGATGTATCTAATGAAATTTAAAAGAAAATCATTCTTATTAGATATCATCAACAAAGATTATTTTATAATTTCTTGTATATTCAATACAATTATATTCTGCTTTCTGAATGAACTCTTTTGAATCATCTAACATGCCTAATGCATTTACAGGTAATATAAGAACTGGAAGAAATAAAACAATTAAAGCGAACAGTTATATTCTTTTTGTGAAACACGATCTAAACAGAGTGTCGAAGTGAATGGATAAAAATTTGAACCTATTCTCGCACAATATACATCTAGGCAGACATTCGGTTAAACATGAAAATAGCACTTTTTCAAGGTGTAAAAAAATTGGGAACTATGCTTCGAAATATAGTCTATCGAATGCTATCATTTTGTTACAATCCGTAAAGATAGTGGAAAATCAGTTGCTCAAAATTATTCTGAAAATTATGATGTTACCGAGAAGAATCGTTTATAACAAAATGAAACCTTTTCAATAGACAAACCAAGTTTAAAAAAGTCCTTAGGGTTCATTTGTGTAGCCGTGTTTTTTTTTCTCAATGTTTCTATGCCATCTTGAAATGCTTGAAGAGCTCTCTGAATTCATATGAAAGTAGTATAGTTACTCATGATATTTGCAGATAGAAAATACTGATTATCATCAATGATCATTAAATATTTAAATCAATTTATGCATATTGTATTTAAATATCGTAAGACTAATTCTATCAAGGCTCAATTTCAAACACTCTGCGTGATAGTTTGACATAGATGAAATAAAATTTCTCGAAGAGAGGTTCAATGAGTTAAGACTTAACGCTACAAGTAAACAAGTTCGATTCTTACACTTATTTTTGTATGTAATTTAATATTTGTGAAATGAATAAATGTTTATTTATTTTTTTTTATACATAAGAAAAAACAATCCTATTTTTTCATTCACCACCCCCAGTTGAGGCAGCAGCAATATCTTGTAATTGTTTAGCTAATCTTTTTCGTTGTGCTAATGATGATTGAATACCAGCATTATTTGAATATCGAGAAAGACCATCTTCATCACTACTTTCACTTGAATCAGATGAATCTGTAAAGCCTTCAGCTGGACCTATTCCAGGTAAACGACCACCAGGTACAAGTAAACGTGGTAAACGTGCTGGTGGTTCTAATTTTGTTTGTTGTTGATCATTTTCTTCATTATCATCTTCTAATGGACGTTTTAATGATTCATTTGTTGAACTAGAATAATTACTTTTTTTAATGAAAGAAAATAAAAATTCTTTTTTTCAATTAACCTTTTTCGTTTAACAATGCCACTAAGTAATTGTTTTTGTTTATTAACTACGGGTGGTATAATATGTTGTTTAATTGATGTTGGACGAGTATTTGCTGAAGCAGTTTCTAATTCTTTTTGAGCCTTGTATTTTATGGAGTTAAGGAAAAAGAAGTTTTTTCTATATAAAAGTAAACCTTATTCTTAGGAAAAAAAGACTATAAATGAAATGAAAAAAAAGGATATTTTTAATTCTTCAATTTCTTCTTGTTCCATTCGTTTTAATTCACGTTGTTTTTCAATTTTAGCTCGATCTAAACGAGTTAAAAACTCTGTTTCATCTTCATCGAGACCACGAATTGAATTTTCTATAAAGGAAAAACAATTAGTATTAACAAATCAATACTTATTTCTATATTTGTACTTGCTGCCCACGTATCCTCAAATTCCTGTTTTTTAGCATCATGTTGTGCTTTTAGCTTTTCATAGAGAGATCTTGTGTCAAATACTTCAGCTGGTGCTTCTATATAATATAAATATAGAATGAAATAAGATCAAGATAACAGAAAATATATATTATACCAATCGGATCAGTTGCTGATCGTACACGTTCCCAATCAGCTTGTCGTCGTTGTCGTTCAATTTCAATTTGTTCTTCAGTTAAAAATTGTTTTAAATTAGTCGATAATGAAGATTGATCAGTCATCGTTGATAAGTTCACCTTAAATTAAGAAATAGCCAAAAATAAAATAAATAGACTAGATGAATAAAATGGATCATTTTGTTATGCCTATTGGATATTCATTTCTGACCAAACACGATCGAGTGAAAGATGTCACTTATTGTTGTATTTCTTACAGATATTTGTGAGTAATCAGACTTAATCGTAAGAAATGCTGATAAAAAGAAATTATTAAAAGTAGACTGAATTTTTGGAAATTTAGTTTTTTTTTTTTTTTTTTATTGACATGAAATATTCCTAGAATTGATTTATTCCGTACAGATTGCCTTTTGGATATAGATATGTGTAATAAATATCCATGTCTCGAGAATGGTCCTGATTTTGAGATTTTGAAAAAACAAAGATCGGCATAAAATCTTGATTACAGTACAAGAAACCACTTTTTGAAAATCGACTATAAATCAGAACAATGAATCGTATTAAAAATAACCAAACAAGCTCTCTATGATTATTAACAGCAAGTACATCGTGTTTCAAATTGTAATTCTGCAGAGCGTCTGCTAACATTTTTTTTTCTAAAGATCCACTCAAAAACCGATCTTGGACTAGGTAAATTTAAATCGCGTGAGATTTTCAGCATATGTTGATGCTATAACGTGGAGGCTAGGCTAAATTTCTAGTTTGCAACATTTCTTTCTTTGTCTCCTCATTTCATAATATGTTACAATATAAAAGTAAAGAGAAAACAAGTAAAAGTTTCTGAAGAGACAAGAATCAATAGACAACACTAAAGTAACAAAGACACTGATAAATACCATAGATATGAAATAAGATCAGACAGAACTAATACTTTTTGTATACTGTATAGAGTTAAACTAGAAATCAATCTTCAATAAAAAAGACCAAAATTACATTAGTACCGTTTTCTCTTTTTTTTTTTTATCGTCGACAATACAGAAAACTTCCTAGAAGACATATGGACTCTCTATCCAACACAATGTATAATTAATTTTTCTTTAACTGTTTTCATGAAACACAAATCATAATGAGTCAAACTATGCACACAATGTCAAATAAAACACACAGTCACGAAAAATAATCCATAAAATATTTCACATAGAAATGAAAACTTCTGTTGAAGTTAATTTATGAGAATCATGTATTGAACTTTAATGTCGTATTCAATTCTTTCCATTGAAACTCTGATCTAACAAAATCGTTCTTGTTTTGGAAGAAAAAGTGTATAGTACTCAATTTAATATATCTCAATAGTCATAATCCTACAGCTAGAAAACATGATCAAAGATAAGTATTGTTGTTCTCGACAAGTTACAAGGAAAATTGTGTACAGAATAATAATTTTATCAGAGAGATAAAACACTATCAAAATGTACTTTTTTATTCTCACTTTATGTCTATTATGAGGGGAAAACAATTGAGATTTCAGTTTTGAAGTCTCATGAAGTCTTCTGGATTTTTTTGACGTACACTTAGTGCACGAAAAATTCATAAGAAAACCAATGAAATAGTAAGATTTTTGATGATCATATTTTAGCAAAAATGTGAACTTTTATTGTTTTGTTAATCTGCTGGAAATGTCCGTGTTCCTTTGAACTTAAAAAAAAGTATAGTTAATAGTTCAATTCTTTTTAATGAAGTTATTTATTTCCATTAGAAATGTTCTATCAATTTGATATCAACTTTCTGAAGAATTTTAATCTTTTTGTTTGTTTCTATCACTCGTGAAAGTCTATCAGCCGATAAACGGCTAGTTTTATCGGTCAATAACCAAAAAGCTGTTTGCTTATATATATATAAATTTAGGCTTGCTATTTATTTGCACCTGAAAATAAGGGCTCTTCATTGCTGGATTGATCAAATGATATATATCTATATCATCACAGTCCACCTGATTAGTTTTTATTTCATCAACATTTTCTGCGATTGTCACAACGGGAAGAAGCGAAACTTCAGGAGTGCGTACTTACCTCGTACTTCCATGATACTTCCTCGTACTTCCATAGTACTTCCTTGTATTCCATTATACTTCTCTGTAATTCACAGTACTTTCGCAGATGGTTAGAATCAGTTTTTTAATTGCTAATACATCGGAATTTGATCTTTATCAATAGAGATGGGTTCACTTTCTAAGAGAAAGTCTCATTAAATAAAGTGTACTTTTGAATGAAGAACATTTAATTTCGTATTATCGTTGAGTCATCCATATATAAATTTCTTATTGAATGAAGCGTAGGTAGATATAGCTTTCAAAAATGCAAAATAAATAATAGTTGTCGAGCGGAAAAAATTTAAAAGAAGTTATCTCAGTAGAAGTGTTAGCGTTCCCGTTCCTAGGAACGAAAACGCGTCTCAAAATTGCATTTTTCATATTTGTTTCAATATGGTGAAGTTTCTAGACATGTTCTCTTGTATTTTTCTGTTTGGGTGCTCAGCGTTCCCCGTTCCCAGAAATGGGAACGGGAACGCGACATGGATTCCCTTAACTTTTAACGAAAGGCTTCCGAATTCATCGAACGAAAGGCAATTTCCTACAAATACCGATACTTTATAAAGTGTGACCGAAGATAATCAAGGTCGAGAAATTCGAATCTGCAATCGGTTTCTCAAAATTCTGAGTTTGATTTTTTTGCTAAAAAAATTTTTTTCAGTGGAAAAATCAAACTCAAAATTTTGAGAAGCCAATTATAGATTCAGGTTCCACGACCTCGATTACGATTGATCAAACTTTACAAAAAAATTGTTATTTTTCAAAAATATCCTTTTCGAACATAAAAAATCAAATTCAAAACTTTGAAAAACGAATTGCAGATTCGGATTCCTCGACCCCGGCCACCTTTGGTCAAACTTTATAAAAAAATCGTCATTTTTCGAAAATAGTCTTTCCTTGCAGAAAAAGATCAAACTCAAAATTTTGAGAAACTGATTTCAGATTTGGATTTCTCGACCCCGATTACCTTCGGTCAAATTTTATAAAATATCGTTATTTTCAAGAAATTGTCTTTCGTTCGATGAATTCGGAAGTTTCCCGTTAAAAGTTAAGGGAATCCATATCACATTTCTGTTCCTAGGAACGGAACGCAAAAGTGACATCCTTACAGAAAATTATCCTTTGAAAACTGTTATTGAATGTATTGTGTATCATAGTTTCGAATAATAGCGTACTTAACAAAAACCATGATATAGATATGAGAGGTCATTCATGGTCCAGCATAATTAATTGTCCTTCAGTACTTCTTTCCTTATAATTCCTTGTTCTTCATCTGTATTTCTCTCGTACTTCCATTGTACTTTCATTATACTTCCTCGTTCTTCAAAAATATTTGGAAGTAGATGAAGTCCCGCTATTTCCCCCATTGACCGAACCCATCTATACAAAAGCACAACTCAAAAAACGACTAGAAGATGAATGGAATGATGTTGATCAACAGTTGTATCTATATTTGACTGATTCGATGCCAGATCGAAATTCAGAAATGCTTAAAAGTCAAGAGTACATATTTTATTTAATTATGTTACTTATTTGCATATTTTGTTTTTGAAATGTAATAGAGAATAATGAAAAATATCTTAAACTTTTGACTATCGAGAAAAATATGTATTGCGCTGTACATCCTCAGCTAACGAGCAACTTGATCAAACAAATAAACCACGTAGAACTCAATTATGCCTACATATAGGGTGGGGTGTGAATGCCAGTTGTTTATGTCTTCTTTTTGATAGCACTCACATTCACATTCACATCCATCGACTACCTCACATGTTGATTATGAAATTGCTAAATTGTGGAGTGAATTAAATCATGTCAAATCTTCACTAAGCAAGTCATCAATGTTTATAATGATAAAATAATCGAATCGAGTATATATTACATTTTTGTTTGTATGAAGGGAAGAAAATTTATTTGTATCAGAGATGTCCATCGCGGCTGAAAATCTGCCGCTGCCGCGCCGCGGCCTTAGAAAAAAAAAGCCGCCGCACCGCTGCCGCGCCGCGACGGTTTATAAAAAAATGTTGCCGCGACGCTGCCGCACCGCGATGACTTATAAAAGAAACGCTGCCGCGCCGCTGCCGCGATGAATTATAAAATAAACGTGCCGCTTCCGCGCCGTTGCCGCGACGGTTTTCAAAAAAGTGTTTCTAATTTCACTGCTGTGACTATATTTGACCAGAGATATGGGTACTAGTCCATCAGATTTATTCAATATCAGGGCGTTTCATTTGTAAATCCTGAAATTCTATTAAATTCATACAGTTTTTCAATGTCCTCCAAAAAAAGTCCTGCCGCTGCCGCGATGACTTTTTAAAAAACCTGCCGCTGCCGCGCCGCCACCGCCCTCGCGGCAGCGCCGCGATAGACATCTCTGATTTGTATACCATAATTTGCATGATCGTACATATTGATTTTATCAAAATAGAAGTTTTCTCATAATGACATCCATATTCTTTGATTTATTTTCTTTCATTTGAAAATGATGAACACATGTGGAATGCAATCATATGACTATCGATCGAAGAGATATATTTTGTTGATAATGATTAGAAAAGAAATGTTTATTCTCATAAAATTTTTCATTACTATTTCATTTCAAAGGTTTTAAAGTTGTCGCTGAATTATCATCATGAAAGAAAAATTATTTATTTAGATAGAAGATCTTTTTGAATAGAAATAATCAAGATGACTCTATAGGATATTATTCGAGATTATTTTTGGCATAGAGATTGTTCAAATGCATAAGTATGTTAACAATCAGGTGTCTTGATAACGTCAGACAATACGCAAATAGAAAATAATTACGAGTGATAAATCACGAAAGAGATAAGAGAAAAAAAAGTTCATTATTAATATATTTTTTCCATTATCATCATTTAAATTACGTTTTTTCCAATTTTGCCAAAGGGCTTCCATCTGTTCAGAAAATTAAAAAAAAATAAACATTCATGATTTTGTATTGAAAATCTGTTAGAAACAATTCTTTCATATCATTCCATTCTCTTGAATTAATTATGTGTCGCTTTCTGGTTTTATTTGTCTGTTTTATTCAACCTACTTATTATTTGAATACTGTTCAAATTCTTGGTCTTTTTCCTAAATATTACGATACAATTTCTCAGAATCTCAACACAAATCAAAGTTCCCACTGGACAACTCAATCCATGGAAATGTTTGACGTAGCTATTATTCTTGCCGATCGCTACAAGATCTATGTGAATGGTCAACCTATCAAAGGCAATATTCTTCCGATAAATACAATTAGTAATGGATTTGCCGAATTTGAGCTTGTCTGTCAATCAATTTCTAATACAAATGAACACGATGTTTTAGGTATCGTCGGACCAACAAGCTCTACAAGTGCACGCTATCTTGGTCCATTTGCGGCACGTATAGGTATACCACTTGTTTCTTACACTGCAACTAATGCTGATCTTGATGACAAATTAAACTATCCAACATTCTATCGTACTATTCCTTCGGATATTCTTGCGGCTGAAGCAATTGTGAAATTATTTAAATATTTTTCATGGAAAACTTGTTCAATAATTATTGGAAATGATGATTATGGTTATGGTGGATTGAAACTATTAGCAGAAGGTCATTATACAAATTTGACGATTCAAGAGCGATTAATATTTGATCCACGAATTGATAAATTTCAAGCTGATTTAAAGCAAACCTTAGAAAAAGGTCGATCTCGTATTGTACTAATCTGGGCTAATCATAGTGCATCTACAAGAATTATTCAACATGCACTTCATGCACGTCTTCTCCGTGGAAAATATGTATGGATAACGACAAATAAGGTAAAATGTAAAGATATTTTAATTTTTCAAGTTTCCTCCATTTTCTCAAAGAAATTAAACTATGAATGAAAGAAAAACCTACCAAGAGGTGTGTATTTCTGGCGATACTAACGACTTATTTTGTGTCTTAGGATCATCAAAGCTTCATTAATTCATTTTAATTTCTACTGTAACATTGCTATTTTCAGATTGATTTCAGTACATTCAAACAAGACGAATGGCTTAGTTTAACCGGTATTCTTACTGTAGTGCCTTTCATAGGTAATAATAGTACCTTTGGTGTTAATGAAACTTTACAAAAAGAGGCTTTCGACATTTGGCGTAATTTGTCACATGGTAAAAACAATCTTCCGGAACTTCTATCTTCTATGAGTTTAGAAGCAATGTATACATTTGATGCGGTTTGGGCTTTAATTCAAGCATTGAACAAATCAGTGACTAACAATAAATCACCATCGTTGAAGAAGTCATTAACTTGTTTTAATAGTTCATTACAAAATCATGACGAGTATCTTAAGTATTTAAAGAATACTAGTTTTTTCGGCGTTTCAGGATGTATTCAATTTTCTAACATCAATTCAAATGACCGTATTCATGGTGCCAGTTATGGACTCTACAATATACAACCGTCGGAATCGAAAAACGCTACTGGAAAAGAAGAGATAACCTATATAAAAGTATTGGCATGGTATGAAAGAACTCGTAATTGGACAAATTCTACTGATGAAGACAATAGTTATATCATCTGGCCCAACAGTGACAACACAAAAGTACCAGCTGATTATCCACAACTTCAAGGTTAGGAAAAAGTTAATAGTTTAATTAAAAAACGCTATGATCATTGTATATATAGAAAGGAGAAGTGAAAAAATACTGACGATCAAGAAAAGTGAGAAGCTTTGAAACATCATCTATTATCTATATACGTAATGGGGAGTGTCTGTATGGCTCTTACCAAATGAATGATTGAAGGTGTCAGGTCATGCTTTAAGCAAAAACAAACAGGCGCGTAGTATGTAAAGGTTCCTGCTAGTACAAAAATATATGTTTGCCTAAGGACGGAACATTTCAAGGTGAAACGTTTCATTTTTTAGTCATGACTTGATGCATCTGATAGGCTTCAATGAATTATATCTATTAGAAAAATAATTTTTTTATATAATTTCGATTATAGGATCTAACATCAGTGTCTGCTGTTACTTTCAAATTTTCATCTGAAACTTTGACAAGATAAAAATTCCATTAAGAGTAGCGTACATTAAAAATATCAGAAGTTTTGAATGAAGTCTCTCGGAGAAACGAACTTTGTAAGGTATAGATTCTTCGTCATAGAGAACATATTTACAGCAAGCGTTTTTTGAAGGTTTGTTGTCTTACAGAAGCTTGTTTCGAAAATTTGAACATCTTCTATGCAAGTTAATTTAATTGATGTCATTGTGTGTGGAAAATTTCAAATCAATATTCGAAAGACTCATGCTTCAATGTCGCACTCTACAGCTGATTTTGCGATAGGTTTATTTAAATAGAATTTTCTGTCAATATTATTTACTGTTATCTATTTTTTAAAGCGGCGCAATAATTTCCATGTCTTGTATTTAGGACAACATTTGCGAATTCTTGTCATTGAAGCACCTCCATTCGTTATAGTACACAATTCTTCGGCTCAAAACCCAACCTCAGGCGGTGCTAAAAATTTTGAACAAATCAGACATCGTTCTGATCCTCTGAAAACAAAACATCCAGGAGTTCTTATTTACGGATTTGTTGCTGATTTCATTTGTGAACTTGAGAGACAAATGCATTTTACTTACACAATTAATGTAGCTGATCCATCAATGGCCTATCATTCTCTTGTTGCATTATTAGCAGAAGATAATCGTCAATATGATATTATTCTATCAAATATTGCAGCAACTTCAGATCGTATGCTTAAAGTTGACTTTTCAACACCCTTTCATGAAGATACATTTCGAATCATTACTCGACTAAATCCGTATTCCTCGTCGCTGAGTCTTTTCTCGTGTTTTAATCCATTTACTTGGGATGTATGGGCGGCAATATTTGCGGTTATGATTTATTCAAGTATTATTATTTATGTTTTTGAACGGCATAATAGAGACACGGAAAATAATCAATCTAAATTAAAGGCAATTTTAATTGGCATATGTAATGGATTGACTAGTATTTTAATCATGAATGGCGAGCTACGCTTAACAACGAGTTCGAGTCGATTAACAATTTTAGGTTTATATGCATTAGGTATCATTCTTGTTGCAACATATACAGCTAATCTTTCATCTTTTCTTACGTTAAATCGTGGTCAACCATTTATTTCAGGTATTGATGATATCAAAAATGGTCTTTTACCTTTTTCACGCATCGGTATTGTGACCAATTCATCGATATCCGATTATTATATACGCAATATTTCTACGAAATATTATGCTCTTTCTAAAGTTGAAGAGATATACACACGATTACTTGATTATACAATTGATGCATCCATATGTGATTCATCTCTAATTGAATATGCTGTCAACAATTATTATTGTGATGAATTAACTGTAACTGGTGTTGGTTTTGTTAAATCATCATTTGCAGTTGTTTTACCTAAAAATTGGCTATACAAGACAGATTTAGATGTTCATATTTTGGCACTACGTGAATCACAAAAGCTAGAATCAATAGAAAATGTGTGGATGAGTCATCAAACATGTTCAGCATCACTGTCATCATCATCAAGCAATTTCAATCAAGATGACAATTCGAAAAGTGAAACGTTTTCACTGAATGTCTTAGGTGGACTCTTTCTTATATTTCTTATCATAACTGCAATCGCTTTTGGCTTTCATATATGCCATTGTCGATTAACTATCATGAGCGCATTTCATCAGACTATAAAACGAATAAAATTATCAATACGATAAATGACAATAAAGTATTAACATAAGACTTTTTTTTACATAGTATGTAAAGAACTACAACAGTGACACTAAAAAATTGCGTTACCATTGTTGATTGATATTTTTCTTATTCAAAAAATAAAATATAATTCGAATGAATACAGATTTTCTTATTGAAAGCTTTGATGATCTGATGGAAATAACAACTAGAAAGATCAATTTATTAAAATGAATTCATTTAACCATCGTTTCATCGAATGAATTAAACAATATATAGAATTTTCTTTTCGGAAAATCCGCTCGAGGTATATTAATATGACGACATTTGAATATGCTACTTGCGATTATTCCATTAACACTAGAAGAGATCGATTGTGATTGATTTTTATTTATTAAACACATTTCTTGTTCTCTTTCAATTCGGTTTGAAACACACGTACCTAAATAGTTCTGCAGATTCAATAAAAAAATATAGAGTCTATCTATCGGTTATCAACTTGCTGAACCGTTCATCGTTTCATACTTTTGATTTTCTTTACGTTGATCGGAGACCTCATTAGTGGATGAAAATGATTATCCATGTTTAAAGCACAAAGTATGTTTGTGATATAAAGGAATTTTAAACTTTGCTTCAGTATACTAATCAAGAATTTTCACATCCAATTTTGATCTTTATTTTACAAGTAACGTTCGTCGGTTCGACTCACTTCACCCTCGACTGTATCAGACAGAAGTATACAAGTCTCATCCATGGACACCCAGTTATGAAACAGCTGATTAATGGAGAACTTATCACATATGTCGGATTGACTGAATTTTCATTCTGAAAACTTGAATTGGTTGAAAATTCAATATTAAAAGCACGAGAATCGAATACTTAGCCAACGTTTTTTATGATGTTTCACCTTCCACTATGACAAAAACTTATTTTATTTCATATAACCGTTCCTACACTCGAGAAAAAATTTATTTTCTCAAAAAACCTTTTCTCCTGAACTCAAAAAAATTCAATTCAAAATTTCGAGAAACTGACCTCAGATTCGGATTCTCCGACCTTGATTTGTTTTCGTCAACCTTTATACAATATCGTTGTTTTCGCAAAAAACCCTTTCCTCAACCTAAAAAATCAATTGAAAATTTCGAGAAACTGACTTCAGATTTGGAGTCTCCGACCCCGATTTACTTTCGTCAACCTTTATGGAAAATTTTTTAAAGTAGAAGTTTTTTTGACCTCGATGTTTTTTTGACCCCGATGCAGACACACACACAGACGCACATATAAACTATTTTTTTCATATGACCCTCCCTACAGTCGAGGGAACAGGATCAAGAAACACAACTAATTAACAAATAATAGGATTCTTAAACACATTTTCTTTTGAAAGCATGTTTTTCAACGTAAGGAAAGTTAGCAGCGGATTCGGGTTTGTCCTGGTGATACCACTAGTAGACTTGGATTGTGTTTGTTCTTGCTTGGTTTAGAGATGCAGAATTTAATGCTGCGTCGAATGGTGTTATTTTCAAGACGGGTTGTCGGACAAAAACCAGGGCTTCAGGGCCGAATACTCGGTCTCGAATATTCTTTGACATGTTTCCCTTGTGACTATCGGTCTGTTATACGTGTTGATTTCTGTTGGTTTTGGTCTATGTTTTTATGAAAATCGTACCATGTGGTGGCAATTGCAAGTTCAGTTGTCAGAGAAAGAATAGGTGATCGTTTGAAATGAATTCAATGTTGGCAATATCTTGATACTTTCGAGAGCTTTTCTCTTATGACTGTAGCTGAAACTATATCAAGCGTGTTGAGATTGCGTATTTCGACAGTATATTCGCTTTCTATGTGATATATAGTAAGGCTTTGCTCGACACATAGAACGCCTACAGGTCAATCACTCGTAAATGCGTTTGGCAAAATCTTTTCCAAGAATTTTCTATAACACTAAAAAACTTTTTATGAAAGCTGGTTTCGTGGAAAACGGAAACGCTTCTGTAAGTGGTCACTCGATGAGTTGTACTATCGAGAAGAGCATCCAGGCTCGATAAACCAGAAAGTTGTCTATGGATCTATATGATTTTTTTTTAAAATTTATCATAGACCAGTGGAGAAAACGGGCGAATAATAGAAGAATATCTTCCATGATATTTTTCTCCTTCATATTGATCGAATGTAAAAGCCAAATTTCGCAAACAAAAACAGAAAATCCTTGAAGAATTCATAAAAAACATTGTTACATCTTCAATAATAAACATGATATTATATATTTTATTCAGCATATATATTATTCATTGCACAATTGCTCTTATATAACATGAAATCAGAAGTCTCTAAAGCTATTAAGTGCAGTTCAATCAGTGATACGTCCCTTGGAAATGGGTCCTGATTCTACATGACAACTCAAACAAAGTCTAGATGATAGAGGATTTGATGCTGAATCTAATGAAATACATCCGAAAGTGGGAACTCATTTGTGAAAAAAGGAATTTTTATGACACTCAGTGAGTTATTCATGTGAAAACATGGAGTGGAGTCATAAATACTCTGCTTGGTGGAAGATTCGATATGTTGTACGTAAATGGTTTGAGGTATGGAAAATCTAATTATATAAATCGATAGAGCTCATTGAGTTGTACTTGGAACAAGTCCTTGAGTGAAGTCGGTGTGGAAATACTCGAAGCTGTTTATGTCTTCACGTACGTGTAATATGATTATTTAGATCAGCGTTGATCCTAATTCATTATACGTGACTGATTAGAACTAATTACGATACTACTAATAAACTGAGTATAATCGATTTTTAGTCTAATTTTTCGTCAAAACCTTTACACGGGAAGTCTTCGGTTACAAATTGCGAGACGCTTGTTTATCTTTATTTCTCTTATTTTGAGAATTTTTTTTTCTGAAAATGAACATTAATGTGAAGTTGTCCTATATTTATCATCATGAGACAACTCATAATGAATAGACATTAGCGCGATTGATTATAACAAGAGAGAGGATCAATATTGCGAAAGAACAGGATGCAAGTTGTGTTGTGACGCATCTCCTTGGCACGCTATATTGACATTATAAAAGAGGGGATGTTTTTTTCCACACTTAAGCAAACGTGATTCGGAAAAAGTCCAGTCATTTTTTTCTGTGATATATAAATAGGTGAGGCAATCGATCATAGATCAAACAAACTACAACGCACATAATCAGCTGATGCTTCGATCGTAAGTAATTATCGACATCTTTGTTACGTTTTGTTTAATCACAATCTTGTCTGCGTCCATCCACTGATTGTTGCACACATCTCATGTAAAAAAATAGAGAAAAATCAATCATAATCGTGGAGACAGTTGTTGTATTATATTAATCGATTAAAATTTACAGTAACTATTACCAACTCACCAGCATTGTTGCTACACTATAATGACTATATCCTATGAACTACTGTCTAAAAAAAGTCTTACTCCAAATAAACCTTAGAAAGTTTTGGACACATAGGAAATCCAAAACCATCAATTACAGTGAAAAGTCGGGTTTTGATCTCGCAAATCGACTAAAGGTTTTCAAATATTCAGTCCTATTCGTCAGACCAAAGAGAACACCTAAAGCGATAACTCATACTTTCTTTCGCGTACAGTACTTACGACCACTTCCATCCTAATCTAAAGTTCTGAACAAGGTAACATCATTCATCATCTTATAGTAGAAAAAGATATTAGCCATTTAATATCAACATCAGGTTTACGTGGTAAATCGAATTGTGTATTATCTAAAATAGAAGTGAAAGAAAGTATTAGTCTTTCAGGACGAATATGATACTAACTTAATAGATCGAATCACTCAGTATCTACGATAGAAAGAGAAGAAAATATTAGTTTTTTAATATGAAAATGAGACTTACTTTATAAAATCATTGAGGATGGTAAAAGAGTCAAAGAAAATATCAGCTTTTGAGACTGGATATGGGTCACATATCGAAATTCTTTAAGTATCTGATCACTCGAAATAAAAGGATTTAGCCAAGTTGACATTTCGTTTATTTTCCACACGAAGAGTTTAGTAGAATTCATGTGAAATAAGCATTCGAAATATTCTAGATCTTCTGAGATTGAGATACGTATTAATATCTAACAATAATATCAAAACGTCTAGCAGTCTAGAAGTCTGGGCTATTTATTCGATAACATTACGGAAACTCCGCTCACAGAGCACTTGAGTGATCAAAAGCTAGCTGAATATTTTATACACAAAGAGTAAAAAGAAATGGTATTCGCGATCAATACTTTTATTGAACACGATGTGAATGTGAAACAGTAATATTCAGTTTCTTTGGGAATACATAAACCATTTTTGAAAACCGTAAGTAAAATATATTATATGTACGAAATTATGACGAAAGGTCAGAGTAAGACACAACGACCACACAATATACCTTATTTTGAGTTTATTTCTTGTCAATAGAGGTTTATATCAAACCAGATAAGATGTGCATCATTTATCTTATCTCTGGGTGAGCTCTCAATCTATCGGAATTGGATTATAACACATTCGATTCTATTTCAAGTGATGGTGGGTGTGAGTGTGGGTGACTGCGGATATGGATAGAAGCAAGAGACAAATCCACACCTACACCCATACTCTTGAGAAGATTTCAATGGATAACAATGACGAGATTCAAGATGAACAAGAAACGATACAAAGATCATCGATGTCATTTACTTGGTTCGATCACAGCGACCGAATGAAGATGGAAAAATACAACGTTCATCACTGGTCAATGATAATCAAAGTCGAATTGATATTTTCTGGGCGAATACTGAATGACGAGAAATTTGTTCGTCTGATAACAAAATGTCCTACCGAAATGCTGCATCAATCATTGATCGGTTTGTCGATATATTGGTGATGCACAACATGCAATGAATCCATTTGCTGGTAATGGAACAAATATGGCTATTATGGATGGTTATCAACTTGCTCATCAATGAGTTCATGCCAAAGATTTAAATTCAGCAATTAAATCTTATGATAATTTAAGTATTCCAAGATCGACAACAGCCATTAATATGAGTCATCGAACTATTACTATTGGACATTTACAAGAAATTTGAAAATATATGTGAGTTGCATTATTCAAAACTATGGCTTGGTACTTTGAGTTTAATTACAAACATGATCAACAATCAAGTTAGATATCATTTTTCTTTTTCAGATTCATTTTTTAAATAGATTTGTATTTAACACGTTGTTAACTGAATGATTAACTTTAGGTTTATGAGAATTTCTTAGAAAATAAAAGAGTACGCATTCACCTGCATCATTAAAATTAAAGAGAAATAGTAAATTATTTGTTTACAATGAAGGTATAAAAATAAATGAGAGAATGAAATTGAATATGGCATAAGACTATTGTTTTAATGATCGATACTATTTTTGTTCTTTTGATTGCATCTACAATTTATATGAGAAAGAAGGAAATTGATACTTTTTATCTTCTAATGTCTGTTTAATGAGAAGAAAAAAAAAAGATTCAATATCTCTCTCGCTATATATATAAGATGTAAAGTATTCAATCTTTTTCAAGTGATTTATTCTCTTCGAACGACTAGATCTTCTTAATAAAATAAAAATTTGTCAATAATGTCTCACACATCTAGTACAACACACCCTTCAACGCAAACACATACTTCAAATCCAGCTCATCCAACAGGTCTTTCACACAAAAATACTATTGAACAATTTGCTGATGCTGTTAATGGAAATCATTTAAATAATCTTGATAAATATCTGGATGCTAACGTACAAAAAACAATTGATTCTCAAGTTATTTATAAAGATTTAAAAGAAGCTCGAGATTATTACACAAAAGAACATACGAACAAAAAAACAGCCCATTGGAAAATTATTAATTTTCATGATGATGATCAAAAAGGAAATACAAGTCGAGCTCGACTTAACTATGATAATAAAACATATAATACAACATATACATTTTTACCTTCAGGAAAAATTCAACGTATCGACGCTACTCTTGATACAACAGCTACTCATCAATAAATATTTATCATTATAAAAACATTTTATCCATTTATTCAAGCTAACATGTTTTAGTTTCTTTATACGTGCTATTCAATTTAGTTTTTTTTTATTTCTTAAAATAAACGTAGAATAAACTATAAAACATTGATATCCATCTATAATAGATTACACACAAATTAGAAAATAACTTATAGACAATAGTAGAAAACGATTTTACAATTAATGGTCAAGTGTCATGATCGATGATCTTAACGTACATAAACTTGTTTCTCAAACGATTCTTTTGAATTCATCTTATGAAGAGCCCATCGTTCATCCAAATTTTCGACTATCAAAACAGATGTTCGATCAATTAATTAACACTTTGGTTACGGGTTTTATTTTGAAAAATAATGAAAAATACTATTTTTTCAAAAATCTTCAATTAGATTTTATTACCATACAAAAGCATTCAGAAATGTTTTAGGGTATGATATTCTTCAAAATAGCCTATAACACAAAGCCCAACGTTACAAATGTTGGGAAAACCCAATATGACATATGTGAACACATTGGAAAAATTCCATGGAATATGTCGGGAATTTCAACATGCGATGCGCGGATATTTCCAACTATTATGAATGTCCTAGACCTCGTTCCATGAACAATTGTAAGTCACAACAGAAACATAGAATATCATTCGGCAACAAGAAAAATACAAATAAAAGAGAAGGAAAATCCGCCTGAATTATTATGACAAGATATATCACAACGAATCTATGTCAACAGAATGCAGAAGAAAGTAGATAAATACAATGTATGATAATGCTATTCGATGCCACGGTGAGGAGGCAACACGAGAGTAACAGGGGACACTCTGACGCTTTAACCAAGAAAAATAAAATTCGTAACCATACTTTAAGCGAATTTCAAAACGTAAATATACGTTTTCCGTAACCAAAGGGTCAATAAATGTCGTAAATCCCTCCCCTAATTAGAAGGCTCCTTTAAAAGGTCTGAATGATCGCCTTAATAGAAGGCTCGGACCTTATATTAAGGCTATGATTCTACTTCGCTTTTTATGGCTATTACTTTGAAGCTCTAATAAATTTAATTGATTTATTGTGCAATTCTACGCATCGGACTTTAATGCTTCGCTTTTATTATACATACCTTCATTTTGCAATATCGCCAGATATGCTAATAACTCGACTGCTTTCAAAATTTTCAAAAACAAAGAGAGTTATAGATCATATCTTTCCGCACTTATTCGTTCACTTACTTAGGACCTTTATAAAATATTTTGTAATGAACTTTTTGTTTGAATGAAGCAGTATCTAATCATATTTCAATCATTTGATTTTGTTCAGTTATAGGGCGATTCAATACCCATTTTATGACTAAACTTCCTTTTTTTCTTCTTCTAACGATGACATACATTTATTTTTTATTAATTGTCATTCGAGGAATCAAAAACGTGCGAAACTGATATGAATCTGATGCCTACATTAAGTAATTAGCATTACTTTATCTCTTAGAAGTAATTTGTGATCAAAGCAAAACTAACTGAAATTGTTCTGAGCTTTTTTTCTTTTGCAATACTTCTTTCTAAAACGTTGAAGTGTTACAACGATAACAGATGATGGCATGACTAGAACACCTTGGTAAAGCATTTTTGATACTTGAACGATCTGCTCTCGTGTAGAATGTATTCCACACATAAAGAAATATAAATTTCAAGCTCGAACTGAAATATTATAGCCATTAACCACGGAAGCATTTGAGAGAAAACATGGTCGAAAATTACAGATACGAGACCAACTTGAAAAACAAGCAAAGGGCAGGATATTTTCGAAGATAGAGTACACTCGGCCAGACGCTCATGATTGTGTGATGGATAGAATTCACATTCAGAGACAGATTCATAATCTTACGTATACAGGCGGACCTGGAAAACACTCACGTAAACTTTGACGTGAGATGTTCTTTTACATCCAAACAGCTTTCAAATAGTGTGCATCCGTCCCTGTGAATAGGAGTAACCGTTCCAACCATCTTACAGAAGATCCACATTTGCCTCCATCTTTTTCGAAATTTCCAAGATCTGGAAAGCTCAGCAAACAACGTTCTTGTGTCTGCTTAATTATCAACTTCTCGGATGGTTGAAACTGGAGGAATCGTGAAAAATAACTGGATAACAAGTTTTGATAACTTATCATGCTTCAAAAATCGTATCCACTCGGATGGTAAGATTTGGCAATTTTTGCGAATAAAAAGCTACTTACTGGAAAATTGGATGCCTTTCGACAATACTAATAAAAGGATCCCTAAATAGAAGACCGCCCAATATTTTTTTTGCTCCGCCATTATAGAAGGTCCCGGGCCTTTTAATGCGGGGGGTGGGGGAGGTTACTAAATGTCGATCTCCAGTCACTCGTAAACATCAATAAATTGAGATCAATCTACGATAGAGTGGGTGTGGATGTGGCTGTAGGTGAGAAGAAGATCAACACCCACACCCACCCACGCCCACACCGACTCACACGCACACCCCACACCCACACCTACACCCACACATCCCACATCTACATCCACACCAACATTCTTAAGTTTCTTTAAAAAAATTATCTGACGCTTCAGGATTCATTTGAACTATTTCAACTTCTAAAAAACTGATTAATTCCAAGAAGTGCATGTTCAGTTGTTACTGATGAAGTTAGGACAGAACTTTTTGATGGTGTCAAACGTCATAGTTGTTGAGATACATAGATGGATGTTTTTTCCTTCATGAAAATAAATCCTTATGTTTTTGAAAACTTATTTTTATTTCATTATATTGAATTGCTGCATGGTGTGGTGCTGCACTAGAGAGTGTAGGTAAATATTACATGAGCATACTCATCTCGGTCCATCAACTGTACTCATAAATTAGCGTTCGTTGGACTGAATTTTCGAAAGATAATGTATCAAGTTCTTTGAAACGTTCAAAATTATTTTAACAATTTTTTTCTAGAAATCGGAGTAGATGATCAGAAATTTTCAAATGTGATATGATAAGATTATTACAAGTTGGATTTGTCTTCTTCGACAAGAGCTACATCCACTGATTTCTGATTGATGGCTTCAATTTTTGCTTTGATTTCATTAGAATCATTAGTCCATTCATTTCTTTCACATATTTCAAGAGCTTCATTGTAATATCCTATAGCTAAATTCAATTCATCTTGATACTCATGAATATCAGCCAATGCTTGATAGAGATTCATAATCATTTCATCACCTAGAATCTCGTTTTCTAAATCTATATGTAATGCTGTTTGAAGGTAATAGTTCGCTAACGATATATCATCAGAATAATTTCTGTTGTCTCTCGTCAAATGTGAATATCCCATGTATAAATGAGCCATAAGAGATTTCGATAACGATAATGAATTCAATTCTATTGCTTGATGATAAAAACTAATGGCTTCATCATAAATTTTCAATTTATAATACGATTCACCAATGGAACACAACAGTTCAGCAATTTTTCTCTTGTCTGCAGAAAAAGAATTTTCTTGTAAAGACAAACTTCTTTTAAAGAAATTGATTGATGTTTCAAAATTCTTGTTTGTGAAATGTTTAGAACCCATAGCTTGGAGGTAACTTAATTCAAGTAATTCATCCATTGGAAATAATTTTATCATGTGACCATATAAGTGATCCAAATCCGAACATTCACGTACGATAGTGGTGGTTCCCATAGCGTCCAACAATTCTTGAACAATATCACGATCACCTTTAAATATATTTTTCTTATGGAATCCTTTCTGAATATCTTCATCATTACATAACCTTAATTTGATAATATGTAGTTGATCCGTTTTGTCAAATTCAATGGCACTAACGGCGAAAGCCGCACCAGGCATAAATAAAACTTCTTTTTCGTCTTGAAACTGACTTTCATGGCTTATTTCAGCAAACGGACGACTTTTCACAATCGGATTACATTCAATTTCAAATAGAACACCCCGTAAATCATCCTCTGAATTAAATCCTAAAATAAAAACACGAGCAGGATCACGTTCGAGAGATGTTGACAACAGACAATGAGTTGATAATCGAAGATCATATTTGTTTGCTTCTTTTATTCTCTCGATTTCTCTTGTATTCATAATCTGTCCACGATAGACACGTATCGATGAGTTTCTTTCATTGAATAATCGATGACCAGCTTCAATCTGTTTGTATAAATCTCGAATGAAAAAGTGATATTTACATAGCACTTGTATGTTACGTTCTCTCATTGCTTGATTAAGTATTTTATAAATAAATGTGTCCCTTGTGTACCACCAGACAGCTTTTGATGAATCATATGAATCGGAAAATTCTTTCAGTAATTGTTCATTTTTCGGATTTTCTTTGTAATATAGGCTAAAGAACTGAACAAAATGTTCTTTACTATTCATAGGTGGTTCTTGATTTACCAATACGTATAACAGTTTAAGTAGCCATAAATCGTTACGTAATGCATTCATTGTAAAAGCTTTATTATTTGGATTGAATAATTCGGGCATCATTCGTTCGTATTTGACAAAAGTTTCCACCGTAGTTTTCAAATCGATTTTCAGATGTTCTAAATTATTATAGACTCCATGAACCTATTCAATTAGAGAAAAAAATGTCGGTTTTTGTTAAGTTTAATTCAGTAGAAATATGAAACCTAACTTTTGAATATTGTTTCATCAACCGTTCGGATGAGATTTGATTAGGATTGAAAATAAAAATTGAATGCAATTGATGCAGATTGTGAATTTCAGGAATTATATTTTCTTCATTTTGATTAGATACAATCAAAAACAGCTGTTCTTTTGTTCTCATTATCTGTTCTATGCATGCTTCATTGGTGTCTATTAGAAGTACATTATCGATTATTGATCGTAATTTCATATGCATTTGATAAGTATATATCGAAGTGCCTAACCATATTAGTGTATGCGTATCTAAATTTTGAGTTCGTTTGAATGTACTCAACCTCGACAGTATATCTTTATTGTCAT